TAGGAAATCTACGAAACACGTAGTCGTGGGAACGGCCGCTTCTGATTGGCCAGATGTTGCCAAAACAGGTCAAAACAATTGAGCTTAAGCTAAATCTTGCTTCTCTTTATTCTTTTCAGGAATTGCCGATGGCGGATTACTTCTGCTGCTGAAAGCTAAGCAGTTGTGCAAAGATGAACAGTTCAAAGCTTCGCCGGGTTGTTGCCAGAAGTGGAAAAGGTGCCATTCCATCAGCCTTTGCACCAAGACAACATTTGCGGAGCGACTTCCACAAGATCTGGAGGAGAAGACTATCCAACTCCAATGGTTCGTGATTGCCGCTCGCATGGATGAAACTGTACAATTCGAGTCTTTATCGAACAGAACCGTTTACCTCTAAAAAAAAAAGTAGCCTTTGGATAAGTGTCTCAACAAACCGTGTAAAGACAACATCCGGAGACAGAATCTTTCCTGGATGATGACTGACTTCCCTTCCTTCCGGAGGAGATGATGAAGAAATCATTTAAAACATGCAGGATTTCGAAGGCGCTCGACTGCACAGAAAATGACAACATCTATACCTATGAAATGCCTAAACTAACCGACGATGAGATGGCCTGGGACGACAAGTTTGAGACAGATAGCAAAGAAGAAGAGGAATAAACACTTCATTCTTGAAGTTATCACTAAACAATACGGCTGCTTTAGGAGTCACCACTTAAATACAAGTCATTTATCAACAATGATTTAGCGTAAAACTAGCAATTTGTGTTCGTTGATGATCGCTCGGCTGATAGCCGAATAAACATTCGATTTACGATATTTGTGGGTAATTGAGCTTATCACATAAGATATGGCAGTCTCCTACATTTATTCTGAGACTGCGGCTTTGTTTTAGAATAGCATGGGGTTATAGGGAAATCAATTCAAATTAGCGGCGAACAATTGCTCTAACCTTTAGAAGAGAATCATGATATCAGACGACTCAACAAAAATGATCGACTATACAGGAATAAGAAAACAGTCTATATCAGTTTTATTCGTAGCGTTCTATACAAGAGATGCATGCATGGTGATGGAATTTTAAGCTGTCTAATCATATAGAAACATGACTTAAATAATGATTGTAACAATCAATCGCAAAATGTTAAAAACTCTTGGCATTAAGTGGTGATTTGTGTTTGATTTAAGGTATTGACTTTGGTAATAATCAATTAACGTTGTCTTGCTCCACTCTCTTGTAGATATCAAAGATCTCTGAAAAACATGATCAAAGGAAAATGAGGAATACCAGGATGCAAAAATGTAAAATCGTAAATATGTACAAAGGATTTGTAATTCCGGACGTTTGAGGAGATATGCTACAAAGCATTGTCTTAAGGAACCGTCGTCAAACAAAGTCGCTCGTAAGTTCAGCCGCTGGCGAGTGTCTTTGCGGTCGTTTCTCTCTTACAGAGCTCACCAAACAAGCCATGCTTCCGTTGCTGTTAGGTGTTGAGCTCAAGAGTGATGAAGTGGATCCGCCAAACAGAAGGGATGAAGAACGACCCAGATGCCTGTTTCCAGCCTCCATGTTGGCGGTTTTCATCTGTTAAAGCTGACCATAAAGTTTACGTATCTACTCCTGAAAACAAACAGGTGATAATTTGGATCAATGTCAGTAACTGAATAACTGCCCACCTACCCCTCCCCTGACCCAAAATTAGCTCCGACTTGTTATCAGTTGATAGTTGTCTGGTTAGGATAGGGGTAGGGGTAGGGGGCGCAGTTGCGTCGAAACTGACATTGATCCGACGATAATTTAAATAAAAAGGGATTTTATTTTAAGCTGAGTTATTCATTGTAAGTTTAAATAGGTTGATTGACGCCCCTTAAGGCTCTTAAGTCACAGTTTGAGAATATTTGATCAATAACTTCTTATTTGACCATTTCCCCAAAATGGCTCTTCAGGGCCAATCGTGATAAGCAAAAGCAACAAACATTACAAATAACATAAGTTCTTCTCGAATTCCTCGAGGTTTCGCAACATTGTAAACTTAGCCTGTAAATTTTTTGGCATAGTTACGATCTTCACATTCTTTCGACCTCAGTAACCGTTTGGAATACCTTGACGTTTTTCATAACCCACGATTAAGGAGTTAGTTGTAAAATTTGAAAGCAGATCATTCTATCAGAGCACTTCTAGACTTCCAGTTCCCTGAAAAAAGCGTTCTAAGTTATTCTAAAAGTTTTGTCAGCGACGAACCTCCAATTTCCCAGACCTAGATTTCCCACCACCTGTGCGAACCCCGTAGAAGGTTGATAAACTGGAAACTTCTTACCAGTCATTTTAGCGCTGCTGTTCGTCAAGGGAGGTGGAATAAACTATGGAAATGATTTTTACTTCTATTTTTACCTTGTGAGCTCACAATAATTTGGAATGATGACTAAAATAAAGACTTACATTAAGGTCTTCATTTTCTTGGTTCAAGTTCACCGTCCCTTCAGAGGACTGTCCGGTTGCCATAAAAATTTGAAGAAATTTAGATTTTCATTTAAAACGAAATCGCATTTGTTATTCTGAGTCAAACTTCCGGTCCTCCAGGAGATTTTTTACGTTTTCTTTAAATATCTGAGGACGCGAGCAATGTGAGGTCGTCTACGACTCTAGGAACAATTGGAGGTCGCTCAGTTTCCAGAAAGTCAACAAGCTGTTGTTGAAAAAGCCAATCAAAATACCCAGTTGGAATTCAGCCAGGAGTGGCGTGGCAAGATTAAGCGGTACAGGCTGGTTGTAATATCGGACAGTGAAGGAGATATGTTGTCTGAAAACACAATTTTAGAGGTCTACTGTTGAGTAATATTTTACTCAATATTTACTTGGGAAGATCTATCAACGTAAGACAGAGAGGTGTGGTTAAGGAGGCTTTTAATCTCTCAGCAGGAGTGTAGATCCATATGAAACCCACACGTAATTAACTCTGACAAGGCCTGTGGTGGCTATTACTTCTGACGACTTCTTTCCTCGTTTTTTCTTGATCCACATCTTAATAAACCGGGCCGTTACAAAACAGGGCACGACGTGATAGCATTGAGGGAAAAAAAAAAAAAGAAAGGAGGCCTGGAACTGGCGGCTACCCAATTCATACTTCCGTGGGAAGTGGATAGTGAAAAGTATAACTGACAATGAGAAAGGATCGGTAGAGTACTATGGAGTGACAAAAATATAAATCTCCAACCCCCCTCCCAAAACAACAAATGATGACCGGTCCGCCCTGGCTAATCCTATTTAGCATGCAATATTTCTTAATTTGAAGGGGAAAAGCACAAGTAATTCAAAATATCAGTTTCATAACAGATTTTATTTACTTTAAACTCAGGAAAGATACAAGGTATTTTTATTTCAAACTTAGCCACTAAATCTTGATCAAGAGACTATAATCTCTTGGTCATGATGCAGTAATTCTGGCGAAACTTCAGTCAACCCTTAATGAACACTTACAGTTTTTTCTTGTATTTTTCTACTGCAGGCCTTCGGCAGGTGATTACGCTTAAGTCATGCTACTGAATATTTACATTAAGTTTACCTTCTACCATTCTGTTTTGAACTTTATCAAACTTTTACACATGCGCAGACGTCTGACCACTGTTTTGACACTTACAGGTTGCTACTACGTATCATCTTCAAGATCCTATTTGGACTCCTGTGAACATCAGAGCAATTGTTTGAGTAGCCATCGTGCTACGTCATATAGTATATACATACGATCCATAGGGGCGCCTACCTTGAAATTCAAATGTCTTTTCCAGGTTCTTAAACTTTTGGTTATATAAGACATTTTCATTAGTTTCATGGCAGTTTTTGAAAACAGTAGAGTTTTGCTTAGGTCAGAGGGTTATAACCATGATCAAAAAGTTACAGTAAATAAACAGGAACAAAAAATCAAATGCCGGAAGTGAATGGAAAATGAAGAGGGTGATCGCTGACAAGCCGATGAAAGCAGCTTTGTAGGCTCGCTTCCTCCTGGTACAAGTGCGGAGCATCTCTTCTGCCAACTCTGGTGTCCAGTCTTTTGTAGGATTCAAGATATCTTTAACTTTTTCGAGTTTCTTGGGTTCACCAGACTCGACGATGTGAGAGTGCTGTGGAGGAAAGTCTGTTGAGAGAGACGAAGGAAAGATTTAGAAACTGAAAAACAGGCTCTATGTTATATTTGCAGGTAACATTGATAACAGTTGTAGTATTGAAATTATGAATTTACGAATCCGTAAAGATGCCGTAAAGTAAGCGTTAAGATCCTCTTTACGCGTCTTTACGAACTTCTTTACACTTTCGTAAAGATTGTCTTTACGCCTTGAAAACGGTAGCGCGTAAACATCACGGAGAGAGAGTAAAAACGCCATCTTTACGTGCCTTGTAAAAAGTCATATAGAGAACATTTACGATATTTTACGGCGACTGTATTATTTTTATTGCTATCAAAGACGCGTAAAGTGTAAAAGCGAAGCTGGTCAAAATACCACGGTAATTCTACGGAAGATGGATGAGCAATAATTATTTCACTTCTTTGAGTATTTCTCCAAATAGAAAGTGCTTAATTATATCCATCTTGATCCTTATCCTTTTACGAACATTGAATATCCCTTACGCAGTCTTTCCCTGCATTTACGCATCTTTACGGAACGCGGAATTTGTCCTTAAAGAAGAGGCTTCATCTCTACGTTCTTTACGCAAGAGTTAAAGATGCGTAAATTTGCGATTTTATGCTGCGATTATAACAATACAAAACTGCATGAATTCAGGAGTGCGTCCGACGCTACTTTTATTATCTTATGTTATCATAGTTGCACCCTTCCAATCAAAATGACGCCGAAGCCACGTGTACTCTCACACTAAATTGCAAATGAACTATTTGTAACAGTATATTGCGTTTAGAATTGACGGAACTCACTTTGCCTCGCAGTTCTCATCCTTTCGATGAACGATCTTCCAGTGGAGACTTTGTCCTCAATTGCTTCACACAAAGCTTTAAGTAAGGGGACTACTACTTTCCCTTCGTTTTCCAAATCTGCAAAGCAAGCATTTTATTTTGTATCTATCCAGACGCAGTATGTTATAAATTACAAATGAAACTGACCAAAAGCAGCTCACAGTTTCCTCTTCCTCTCCCCCATTCCGCCCTTTCTCCACTTAATCCAGGCTTTCAAAACTATTGTCTCACTCACACTTAAGTAAAATAAAATCATATCCTCATCTCACCTGAAAAATGTAACTCCTCCTCTTTCTCTCTATGTTTTATATCTTTACACACTGCAATCAAAAGAATAGAGAAACGTTTCAAACAGCTGTGGTACTGGTCCTAGGGATGAGGTACTTAACAAAAATTTCCCTGCAGTGAAGGATATCATTCTCTTACAGCGAGCAGCAGAGGCCTTTTTTCTATCAATAGAACGTAAGCCTAGTCGAGAGAACATAAACTCGTGTTTTCTTAATCCTGAGCCAACCTAATAACTCAGATTGAGTGTATGAACTTTCAACTTCAGAATCAGTCAGGAATTGCAGTTTTAATTTGGAACAACTAAACTATTCTTTCCGTCTGCCAGGGCCTGTAATTTCGTTTTTCGAACGGCCGCTTTTTCACGTCATTGATTTCCTCAATCGAATCAATCGTGCGACGATCAATTATCGAATAAAGTATTAAAACACATTTTTTTAAACCACTGAAAATCGTTAGGATGCGTCGTTCCAAAGTCAAATTCAGTTCGGTTTACAAAAAACGAACCTTCCTGGAGACTTTCGAGTACTGTTGCATACTGCACCACTGGGATCGGCAATTTCAAACGTCAACAAAGATTACAACATCGATGAAAATAGAAATAACACGTGATGTTGAGCTTATTGCTTAACATCAAGTGTTATTTCTATTTTTATCGATGTTGTAATCTTTGGTGAGTTTGAAGGGGATTTTTCTAAATAATTAACTTATCAGTGATGTGCCAATATCGATATCAAAAACATGCTTTTTACCGTTCAGCCATTAATTACGTTTTGCGGTCTTCAAAAAGAAATAAGCTCTTCTGAATAATAGTTCTTTGCTATTCTTACATCTTTCATGATTTAAAACGCTGTCCTTATGGGTTGAAAATGAGAAAACAAATAACAAAGTTGGACATGAACATGACTTGAAATGACAAAAGTGGCTGTCCATGTCTTAGTCATTTATTCCCCGTTTTGATTTCTATGTTACTGAAGTTAGCCTCTATACCAAAACAACCTCTCTCAGAACTGTCATCCCTTTCGCACAGAATAATAGTTATCTTCTTGGATATCCAACAACAAAATTCATTATTTGATTCAGAGTTCGTTGACGTTCTAAAATGCAACCATTGCCCGTGCGTAAATACAGAACCACACATTTACTTTTCGTTACTTATGGATATTGGTCAACAGATTGATGTTAATTTTGCTCCGCGCTACAGATAGGCATTTATGACCGATAATTAATCTCCATTCAGAAGAGAACTAGAAGGAAAAATTTCGAAAACAGGGAACTGGATAACATGATATAGAGCAAGACCCCAAAATATCGTAATTGTTGAAGATAACAACAAAAAATACGAAGAATCAAGTAAGTCCTACATTACAAATTGCCCATGACGTCACTATTTCGAAGTAAAATTATTCATTGCGAAGGTAAAGGAATCATGAATTTCGGGACCACAACATCTAACCAAATGATAAACGTTCAAACTCGGCCTGCAATCACAAATCTTCTACGTACCACAACATTTTATAGATCCGTGGAGATGCTCATACAAAGGGGAATGTTTTGACTGCAGGGCATGTATCAAATACCAATACGTGTGAGGGTCTTTTTGCTCCACAACAGCGAGTAGCTCCGTCACTTTTCTCTCCATAGTTGTAAACAGGTTACTGTTGAAAATTCTTTCGTGATCTTGCGTGTCGAACTTGTGATGCGCCCTCATAAATCGCACGATATAAAACAATTGATCTTCATTTCGAATCATCTCTGGGAATCGAATCAAAAACTCGTCTAGGCCTTCTTGAGAAATTTGAAGGTATTTTTCGATGCGTTTCGACGCTCCTGGACTAAACTGGTTTTCGTCGTGGAGGAATCGTTCACACTCCTCCAGGTTGAAATGATTCGGCATGACTTAACACGATTGTCTTCACTTCAGTGTTCTGGTGTTTCACAAATTTCTAAAAATTTCGGAAAGTCCGCAGAAACTTTAAAGACACCAAAGTGTGTGGGTGGGAAGGCAGATTTCGAAATATCGAAATAAATAAAAGACATCGTTATAGACGCTAGTCATTTGACCCGGATATGACCTGCAGTTAAACTAATCAATCGGCTGGAATTTTAATATTCACCCGCCAACTTCTCCATGAATGGACGTTTTCCTTTTTATTATGCGCCGGGATCATTCCTAAGCCAAAATTTTAGTCATTTTGATCCTACATTGGCTGGACCGATCTTTGATCAAGCGAGCCCCAGCGGAATTTTTCTTAAGCGGTCCGATAGTTCAGCAAGTGTGGTAAGTGAGAGCGATAGCTCGACCAGCTTCAGGCCAGCTGAAGGTTTGGTAGAAAAAGAAAAAAAATACGACAAATGGCCGCAAGATGAGCAAAGGGCTCAAGTAATGAATATTAAACCATGATTCGGCTGGGCGAGGAACGGTCCACGTGTAAGGCGCAACACGAATTCTACATAAATGCCGCCGTCTTCTTAGAAAAGCGACATTCAGGATTTACATATATTCATTTACCCATCTCTGGTACTGGATGAAAAGGCAAACATTTGCTGCTGTTGCATGTCGATAATTTGTAGAAGTAGAATGGCAAAAGCAAAGCAAAATGCCTGTTTTGGGTTCATGTTTATTACCGCACAATACGCGCCAGAAATGAAATCTGATCAACTGTGTTGATTTTAAGGTATTTGTGGCTTAGACAGTAGTGCGACCTGTCCCTTATCAGCTGAGGAAATCCACCCCCAGATACGTAATTCCGTTTGGGGTTCAAGATTCACCCACGTTCTACAACGATTCGTGGGCACTAATTTCCTATTAAACATGGCTTTTCTTGACAATCATGCTGCTAAGTTCTTACGCGCCGTTAGTTACATATAAACACAACCGACTGGAAGAAATTACGCCGTTAGTTACTGGCGTAAAATCTTACATATCAATACTACCGACTGGGAGAAATTACGCCGTTAGTTACTGGCGTAAAATCTTACATATCCATACTACCGACTGGGAGAAATTACGCCGTTAGTTACTGGCGTAAAATCTTACATATCCATACTACCGACTGGGAGAAATTACGCCGTTAGTTACTGGCGTAAATCTTACATATCAATACTACCGACTGGGAGAAATTACGCCGTTAGTTACTGGCGTAAAATCTTACATATAAACACAACTGACTGGAAGAAATAACGCCGTTAGTTACTGGCGTAAAATCTTCCATATAGACACAACCGACTGGAAGAAATTACGCCGTTAGTTACTAGCGTAAAATCTTACATATAAACACAACTGACTGGAAGAAATTACGCCGTTAGTTACTGTCGTAAAATCTTACATATCAATACTACCGACTGGGAGAAATTACGCCGTTAGTTACTGGCGTAAAATCTTCCATATAAACACAACCGACTGGAAGAAATTACGCCGTTAGTTACTGGCGTAAAATCTTACATATAAACACAACCGACTGGAAGAAATTACGCCGTTAGTTACTGGCGTAAAATCTTACATATCAATACTACCGACTGGGAGAAATTACGCCGTTAGTTACTGGCGTAAAATCTTACATATCAATACTACCGACTGGGAGAAATTACGCCGTTAGTTACTGGCGTAAAATCTTACATATCCATACTACCGACTGGGAGAAATTACGCCGTTAGTTATTGGCGTAAAATCTTACATATCAATACTACCGACTGGGAGAAATTACGCCGTTAGTTACTGGCGTAAAATCTTACATATCCATACTACCGACTGGGAGAAATTACGCCGTTAGTTATTGGCGTAAAATCTTACATATCAATACTACCGACTGGGAGAAATTACGCCGTTAGTTACTGGCGTAAAATCTTACATATCCATACTACCGACTGGGAGAAATTACGCCGTTAGTTATTGGCGTAAAATCTTACATATCAATACTACCGACTGGGAGAAATTACGCCGTTAGTTACTGGCGTAAAATCTTACATATCCATACTACCGACTGGGAGAAATTACGCCGTTAGTTATTGGCGTAAAATCTTACATATCAATACTACCGACTGGGAGAAATTACGCCGTTAGTTATTGGCGTAAAATCTTACATATCAATACTACCGACTGGGAGAAATTACGCCGTTAGTTACTGGCGTAAAATCTTCCATATAAACACAACCGACTGGAAGAAATTACGCCGTTAGTTACTGGCGTAAAATCTTACATATAAACACAACCGACTGGAAGAAATTACGCCGTTAGTTACTGGCGTAAAATCTTACATATCAATACTACCGACTGGGAGAAATTACGCCGTTAGTTACTGGCGTAAAATCTTACATATCAATACTACCGACTGGGAGAAATTACGCCGTTAGTTACTGGCGTAAAATCTTACATATCCATACTACCGACTGGGAGAAATTACGCCGTTAGTTATTGGCGTAAAATCTTACATATCAATACTACCGACTGGGAGAAATTACGCCGTTAGTTACTGGCGTAAAATCTTACATATCCATACTACCGACTGGGAGAAATTACGCCGTTAGTTATTGGCGTAAAATCTTACATATCAATACTACCGACTGGGAGAAATTACGCCGTTAGTTACTGGCGTAAAATCTTACATATCCATACTACCGACTGGGAGAAATTACGCCGTTAGTTATTGGCGTAAAATCTTACATATCAATACTACCGACTGGGAGAAATTACGCCGTTAGTTACTGGCGTAAAATCTTACATATCCATACTACCGACTGGGAGAAATTACGCCGTTAGTTATTGGCGTAAAATCTTACATATCAATACTACCGACTGGGAGAAATTACGCCGTTAGTTATTGGCGTAAAATCTTACATATCAATACTACCGACTGGGAGAAATTACGCCGTTAGTTACTGGCGTAAAATCTTACATATCCATACTACCGACTGGGAGAAATTACGCCGTTAGTTATTGGCGTAAAATCTTACATATCAATACTACCGACTGGGAGAAATTACGCCGTTAGTTACTGGCGTAAAATCTTACATATCCATACTACCGACTGGGAGAAATTACGCCGTTAGTTACTGGCGTAAAATCTTACATATCAATACTACCGACTGGGAGAAATTACGCCGTTAGTTACTGGCGTAAAATCTTACATATCAATACTACCGACTGGGAGAAATTACGCCGTTAGTTACTGGCGTAAAATCTTACATATCCATACTACCGACTGGGAGAAATTACGCCGTTAGTTATTGGCGTAAAATCTTACATATCAATACTACCGACTGGGAGAAATTACGCCGTTAGTTACTGGCGTAAAATCTTACATATCCATACTACCGACTGGGAGAAATTACGCCGTTAGTTATTGGCGTAAAATCTTACATATCAATACTACCGACTGGGAGAAATTACGCCGTTAGTTACTGGCGTAAAATCTTACATATCCATACTACCGACTGGGAGAAATTACGCCGTTAGTTATTGGCGTAAAATCTTACATATCAATACTACCGACTGGGAGAAATTACGCCGTTAGTTACTGGCGTAAAATCTTACATATCCATATTACCGACTGGGAGAAATTACGCCGTTAGTTATTGGCGTAAAATCTTACATATCAATACTACCGACTGGGAGAAATTACGCCGTTAGTTATTGGCGTAAAATCTTACATATCAATACTACCGACTGGGAGAAATTACGCCGTTAGTTACTGGCGTAAAATCTTACATATCCATACTACCGACTGGGAGAAATTACGCCGTTAGTTACTGGCGTAAAATCTTACATATCAATACTACCGACTGGGAGAAATTACGCCGTTAGTTACTGGCGTAAAATCTTACATATCCATACTACCGACTGGGAGAAATTACGCCGTTAGTTACTGGCGTAAAATCTTACATATCAATACTACCGACTGGGAGAAATTACGCCGTTAGTTACTGGCGTAAAATCTTACATATCCATACTACCGACTGGGAGAAATTACGCCGTTAGTTACTGGCGTAAAATCTTACATATCAATACTACCGACTGGGAGAAATTACGCCGTTAGTTACTGGCGTAAAATCTTACATATCCATACTACCGACTGGGAGAAATTACGCCGTTAGTTACTGGCGTAAAATCTTACATATCAATACTACCGACTGGGAGAAATTACGCCGTTAGTTACTGGCGTAAAATCTTACATATCCATACTACCGACTGGGAGAAATTACGCCGTTAGTTACTGGCGTAAAATCTTACATATCAATACTACCGACTGGGAGAAATTACGCCGTTAGTTACTGGCGTAAAATCTTACATATCCATACTACCGACTGGGAGAAATTACGCCGTTAGTTACTGGCGTAAAATCTTACATATCAATACTACCGACTGGGAGAAATTACGCCGTTAGTTACTGGCGTAAAATCTTACATATCCATACTACCGACTGGGAGAAATTACGCCGTTAGTTACTGGCGTAAAATCTTACATATCAATACTACCGACTGGGAGAAATTACGCCGTTAGTTACTGGCGTAAAATCTTACATATCCATACTACCGACTGGGAGAAATTACGCCGTTAGTTACTGGCGTAAAATCTTACATATCAATACTACCGACTGGGAGAAATTACGCCGTTAGTTACTGGCGTAAAATCTTACATATCCATACTACCGACTGGGAGAAATTACGCCGTTAGTTACTGGCGTAAAATCTTACATATCAATACTACCGACTGGGAGAAATTACGCCGTTAGTTACTGGCGTAAAATCTTACATATCCATACTTACATATCAATACTACCGACTGGGAGAAATTACGCCGTTAGTTACTGGTGTAAAATCTTACATATCAATACTACCGACTGGGAGAAATTACGCCGTTAGTTACTGGCGTAAAATCTTACATATCCATACTACCGACTGGGAGAAATTACGCCGTTAGTTACTGGCGTAAAATCTTACATATCGACTGGGAGAAATACTACCGACTGGGAGAAATTACGCCGTTAGTTACTGGCGTAAAATCTTACATATCAATACTACCGACTGGGAGAAATTACGCCGTTAGTTACTGGCGTAAAATCTTACATATCCATACTACCGACTGGGAGAAATTACGCCGTTAGTTACTGGCGTAAAATCTTACATATCAATACTACCGACTGGGAGAAATTACGCCGTTAGTTACTGGCGTAAAATCTTACATATCAATACTACCGACTGGGGTCAGAACCTCTTCGTCTACTTCTTGTGACGCGTCATACGCCACTCTCAGTTTGGTTGTGCTGGCTTCTTTGGGTATGATCGCCAAATGTGGGATGCAATGAGCTCCATTCGTCTTTCCAGACACTCTTTCTATTACTCCTGAAGCTAACTGTTCTTTGATAACTGAGTCGTACTCTCTCAACACCTCTGGCTCCTTTCTAAGCTTTTTGACATGACCTATCATACGTGACAAACTCAAATCGTAATTACTATCTAAGACGTCACGCCCCTCCTTCCATGGCAGCTTGACGGAATACCGATTTCCGTTAAACATGATGTTTACAAATTCTACAAATTCGACATGTCTACAAATTCCTTGTACACTCTGTCACCCTCCGTTATCCCTGCATGACGAGCCAGACGTTCTTAGCAACCGAAAAAAGAGCTTTGGATCCTGCTGAGATCGAGGAGTTTTACTCCACGATCTCAGCTTGACGTCCAGCAGCTTGCAACATTCCATTGTAACAATATCCCTGCTACTGATCATTTATGTTACGCTGAAAGTGCGAACTTTCGCGCGAGCGTGTTATAATCCTGAAACGAGAGTGTGCGTTCATAATTAAAATTTCTATTTTGGTAATTCAAATTGGAAGAGGATGGTCAGGCTCTTTGGGACTTAGAAACGGTTTCTAAGTCCCAAAGAGCCTGAACATCCTCTTCCAATTTTTCCGCAATTATACTGTCTCTTCCCACGAGATTTACACTGACTGCTTGCTCTCTCATTGTTGACTGACTAGACTCTAGAGGACCAGAAACAACCCATCCTAACCCTGTTTCTATGGCTACCGGTTCACCTAAACCTTCCCTGACGAAATTACCTGACTGAAAGCTCCATAGATAATCCGCCCCTATAAGAACATCTATCTCTAACTGCTCTTTGTGCCGGAAAACATCGGAGAGCCATATGTTTGCTAAGTGAGGGTAGTTCTCACGCACTAATTCCAGGTGCTCGTTCTTTACTCTTGAGATTTTCAGGGACGACAAAGCCTTCGGTGTAAATTGCGTTTACTCACCCTACTGGGGTCAAAACATTCCAATCACCTCAATGAGGTTTGAACCCGCCACCCGCTGCCCAATAGTGTTGACAGCGAGCCACTCTTTCCGGAGAGTCTCTAAACTAAAACCTTTTCGTATGGTTCAGTATAGTCCTCGAGGCGTTTGTCCTCTTCGGAAAAGGCGTAGCTCAGATAACTCTCGTGGCCTGCTCTTGACTTCTTCTTGTTCTTAAGTTCACTCATCTTCGTTCGCTATCTTCGTTCACTATGTTCTTTCACTATCCAGCTCGAAGGACCAGGTTTCGCAGAATTTCCCACTTCCGTTGCTGAGAATTCCGCACACGCTTGTTCAGTAACCTTGGACTGTATACTTTCTCTTGATTCAGGCTTTATTGACGACAATTCAGCATTACACGTTCCGTTCTGCGATCTATCTACTCTATTACAATCTATTCCTAGGGTTACAAAAATGTTACATTTATTAGCTCATGAAAACCAAACTCAGATACGTAATTCCGTGTTGGATTTACGTTCTACAACGATTCGTGGGCACTAATTTCCTATTAAACATGGCTTTTCTTGACAATCATGCTGCTAAGGACGACAAGTTTGAGACCGATAGAAAAGAAGAAGAGGAATAAACATTTCATTCTTGAAGTTATCACTAAACACGATGGCTGCTTTAGGAGTCATCACTTAAATAAAAGTCATTGATCAACAATGATTCAGCATAAAACTAGTAATTTGTATTTGTTGATGATCGCTCGGCTGATAGCTGAATAAACATTCGATTTACGGTATTTGTGCGTATTTCAGCTCATCAAATAATGTATGGTAGTCTCCTACATTTATTCTGAGACTACGGCTTTGTTTTAGAATAACATGGGGTTATAGGGAAATCAATCCAAAATACCGGCGAACAATTGCTCTAACCTTTACAAGAGAATCATGATATCAGACGACTCAACAAAAATGATCAACTATACAGGAATTAGAAAAAAGTCTATATCAGTTTTATTCGCTGTGTTCTATACAAGAGATGCATGCATGGTGATCGATGGAATTTTCAGCTATCTAATCAACGAGAAACATGACTTGTAATTGTACCAATCAATCGCAAATGTTAAAAAACGGTTGGCAGTAATTGGTGATTCGTGTTTGATTTAGGACATTGACTTTGGTAATAAGCAATTAACGTTGTGTCTTGCTCAACTCTTTTGTAAATATCAAAGACCTATGAAAAACATGATCAAAGGAAAATGAGGAACACGAGAATGCAAAAGTGTAATTCCGGACGTTTGAGGAGATATGCTACCAAAGCATTGTCTTGAGGAGCCGTCGTCAAACAAAGTCGCTCGTAAGTTCAGCCGCTGGCGAGTGTCTGTGCGGTCGTTTCTCTCTTACAGAGCTCACCAAACAAGCCATGCTTCCGTTGATGTTAGGTGTTGAGCTCAAGAGTGATGGAGTGGATCCGCCAAACAGAAGGGATGAAGACCGACCCAGATGCCTGTTTCCAGCCTCCATGTTGGCGGTTTTCATCTGTTGAAGCTGACCATAAAGTTTACGTATCTCCTCCTAAAAATCAAACGATGACAGCTTGGATCAATGTCAGTATCTGAATAGCTGCGCACCTACCCCTCCCCTGACCCAAAATTAGCCCTGGCTTGTTATCAGTTGATAGTTGTTTGGTTAGGGTAGGGGTAGGGGTAGGGGGCGCAGTTGCGTAGATACTGACATTGATCCGACAATAATTTAAATAAAAAGGGTTTTAATTTTAAGCTGAGTTATACAAAAAAAGGAAAGGAGGCCTGGAACTGACGGCTACGCAATTCATACTTTCTCCGTGGGAAGTGGATAGTGAAAAGTATTACTGACAATAAGAAAGGATCGGTAGAATACTATCAATGGAGTGACAAAAATATAATTCTCCGAACCCCCTCCTACCCCCCGTCCAGACAACAAATGATGACCGGTCCGCCCTGGCTTATCTTATTTAGCATGCAATATTTCTTAATTTGAAGGGAAAAAACACAAGTAATTCAAAATATCAGTTTCGTAACAGAGTTTATTTACTTCAAACTCAAGAAAGGTACAAGGTATTTTATTTCAAACTTAGCCACTAGGTCTTGATCTAGGGACTAGAATCTCTTGGTCATGATGCAGTTCCCATAGCAAAACTCCAGTCAACCCTTATTGATCACTTATAAATTGACTACAAGTAAATTATTATTCATCATTACAGTTTTTCCTTGTATTTTTTTACTGTGGACCTTCAGCAGGTGATTACGTTGAAAGTCATGCTACTGAATATTTACATTGAGTTTTCCTTCTACCATTCTGTTTTAAACTTTATCAAATGTTTACACATGCGCAGACGTCTGACCACTGTGTTTTGACACTTACAGGTTGCTACTACGAATCATCTTCAAGATCCCCTTTGGACTCCATCGTACAACGTCATGTAGTATATGCATACGATCCGTAGTGGCGCCTACCTGGAAATTCAAATGTCTTTTCCAGGTTCTTAACATTTTGGTTATATATATCATTTTCATTAGTTTCACGCGCAATATAAGTAAATAAATTATTATTATTATTATTATTATTATTATTATTAGTTTCACGGCAATTTTTGAAAACAATAGAGTTTTGCTCTGGTCAGAGGGTTATAACCATGATCAAAAAGTTGCAGTAAATAAACAGAAACAAAAAATCAAATGCCGGAAGTGAATGGAAAATGAAGAGGGTGATCGCTGACAAGCCTATGAAAGCAGCTTTGTAGGCTCGCTTCCTCCTGGTACAAGTGCGGAGCATCTCTTCTGCCAACTTTGGTGTCCAGTCTTTTGTAGGATTCAAGATATCTTTCACTTTTTCGAGTTTCTTGGGTTCAATAGATTCGACGTTGTGAGAGTGCTGTGGAGGAAAGTCTGTTGAGAGAGAGGGGAGGGAAAGATTTAGGTACTGAAAAACAGGCTCTATTTTATATTTTCAGGTAACATTGATAACCTTGAATGGCAGTTGTCGTATTAGAAAGTGCAAGTTAGATAGACGGTATACTGAGCTAATAAAAGTGGTAAGTGGGGAGGGGGAAGGGGCTTTTACCCTGAATCCCAATACCTCGTTAACAAAAAAATAGAGGAAAACAAGGCTTTTCATTTGTAACATGAATATAACACAACCACTAACCTTCCGAGGCATCAATGTAGTCCTCATCCTCAGGCTCAACAACATCATCTACAGGATAGGTAGCTCGGTTTGTTACTAAAGCTTTACCTTTCTTTCCTATAAAATAAAATGATACAACAATAACAATAAAGATTTGTAGAATGCGTTTTAGTATTTGCGCAAAAGCTTAAGAAAACTACAAATCATCACAAATAAAATATCAAAAGAGCCACCCGTGAGAGACGCCAAACGCGGCAAAACGCACGCGATTCAATTAAAGGCACTTGCTTCCAAAGCCAATGACGCACATTATCACAGCATGAAATTATAAATTTACGAATCTGTAAAGATGCCGTGAAGTAAGCGTTAAGATCCTCTTTACGCGTCTTTAAACGTAAAGAATGTCTATACGCATTGAATACGTTAGTACGTAAAGATCACGGAGAGACTAAAAACGCTATCTTTACGTGCCTTGTAAAAAGTCGTATAGAGACCATTTACGATATTTTACAGCGACTGTACTATTATTATTACTATTAAAGACGTGTGTTAAAAGCGAAACTGGTCAAAATACCACGGTAATTCTACGGAAGATGGATGAGCAATAATTATTTCACTTCTTTGAGTATTTCTCTAAATAGAAAGTGGTTAATTATATCCATCTTGATCCTTATCCTTTTCGAACATTCAATATCCTTTACGCAGTCTTTACGCTTTCTCTGCATTTACGTATCTTTACGGAACGCGGAATTTGTCCGTAAAGAAGAGGCTTTATATTTACGTTCTTTACGCAAGAGTTAAAGATGCGTAAATTTGCGATTTCATGCTGTGATTGTAACAACACAAAACTGCATGAATTCAGGAGTGCATCCGACGCCGCTTTTATTATCTTATGTTATCATAGTTGTACCCTTCCAATCAAAATGGCGCCGAAGCCACGAGTACTCTTACACTAAATTGCACATGAAATATTTGCTACAGTGTATTGCGTCTAAAATTAATGGAACTCACTTTGCCTCGCAGTTCTCATCTTTTCGATGAACGATCTTCCAGTGGAGACTTTGTCCTCAATTGCTTCACACAAAGCTTTAAGTAAGGGGACTACTACTTTCCCTTCATTTTCCAAATCTGCAAAGCAAGTATTTCATTTTGTATCTATCCAGACGCAGTATGTTATCAATTACAAATGAAACCGACCATAAGCAGCTCACAGTTTCCTCTTCCTCTCCCCCATTCCGCCCTTTCTCCACTTAATCCAGGCTTTCAAAACAATTGTCTCACTCGCACTTAAGTAAAATAAAATCATATCCTCATCTCACCTGAAAAATGTAACTCCTCCTCTTTCTCTCTATGTTTTATATCTTTACACACTGCAATCAAAAGAATAGTGAAACTTCTCAAACAGCTGTGGTACTGGTCCTAGGGATGAAGTACTTAACAAAAATTTTCCCACTGAAGGATATCATTTTCTTACAGCGAGCAGCAGAGGCCTTTTTTTCTATCAATAGAACGTAAGCTTAGTCGAGAGAGCATAAGCTCGTGTTTTCTTAATCATGAGCCAACCTAATAACTCAGATTGACTGCATGAACGTTCAACTTCAGAATCAGTCAGGAACTGCAGTTTTAATTTGGAACAATTAAGCTGTTCTTTCCGTCTGCCAGGACCTGTAATTTCGACTTTTGAACAGCCGCGTTTTCACGTCATTGATTTAGTCAGCGAAATAATCGTGCGACGATCAATTATCGCATAAAGTATAAAAACACCCTTTTTTTAAACCACTGAAAATCGTTTGGTTGCGTCGTTCCAAAGTGAAATTCAGTTCGGCTTACAAAAAACAAACCTACCAGGAGACTTTCGAGTGCTGTTGCATATTGCACTACTGGGATCGGCAATTTCGAACGTCAACAAAGATTACAACATCGATGAAAATAGAAATAACACGTGATGTTGAGCTTATTGCTCAACAAGTGTCAATCAAGTGTTATTTCGCTATTTTCACCGATGTTGTAATCTTTGGTGAGTTCGAAGGGGGTTTTTCTGAATAATTAACTTATCGGTGATGTGCCAATATCGATATCAAAAACATGCTTTTTACCGTTCAGCCAATAATTACATTTGCGGTTGTAAAAAAAAACAACATCTTCTGAATAATAGTTCTTTGCTATTCTTACATCTTTCATGATTTAAAACGCTGTCCTTATGCGTTGGAAATGAAAAAACAAATTAAAAAAATTAACTATTTAATGAATTAAAAATAACAAAGTTGGACATGAACATGACTTGAAATGACAAAAGCGGGTGTCAATGTCTTAGTCATTTATTCCCGCTTTTGATTTCCATTTGATTGAAGTTGGCCTCTATACCAAAAAACTTCTCTCAGAACTGTCATCCCTTACGCACTGAAAAATAGTTATCTTCTTGGATATCCAATCACAAATTCATTATTTCATTCAGAGTTTGTTGACGTTCTAAAATGCAACCATTGCCCGTGCGTAAATATGGAACAACACATGTACCTGTCGTTACTTATGTATATTGGTCAACAGACTGATGTTAATTTTGTTGTGCACTAAAGATAGACATTTATAACCGATAATTAATCTCCATTCAGAAGAGAATTAGAAGGAAAAATTTCGAAAACAGGGAACTGGTTAACATGATATAGAGCAAGACCCCAAAATATCGTAATTGTCGAAGATAACAACAAAAATAACAAGAATCAAGTAAGTCGTGCACTACAAATTGCCCATGACGTCACTATTTCGAAGTAAAATTATTCATTGCAAAGGTAAGGGAATCATGAATTTCGGGACCACAATATCTCACCAAATGATAAACGTTCAAAATCGGCCTGCAATCACAAATCTTCTACCTACCACAACATTTTATAGATCCGTGGAGATGCTCATACAAAGGGGAATGTTTTGACTGCAGGGCATGCATCAAATACCAATACGTGTGTGGGTCTTTTTGCTCCACAACAGCGAGTAGCTCAGTCACTTTTCTCTCCATCGTTGTAAACAGGTTACTGTTGAAAATTCTTTCGTGATCTTGCGTGTCGAACTTGTGATGGGCCCTCATAAATCGCACGATATAGAACAATTGATCTTCGTTTCGAATCATCTCTGGGAATCGAATCAAAAACTCGTCCAGGCCTTCTCGAGAAATTTGAAGGTATTTTTCGATGCGTTTCGACGCTCCTGGACTAAACTGGTTTTCGTCGTGGAGGAATCTTTCACAATCCTCCAGGTTGAAATGATTCGGCATGGCTGAACACGATTGTCTTCACTTCAGTGCTCTACAGTTGTGCTGTCTGCCGCGCAACGACTTTTGCTGTATTTATGTATTCAGCTTTGCTAGTGAAAAATGCCCAAACAATTACTCTTAAATGACCATAACTTCCGCAATATCAAAATAGGAAATCTACGAAACACGTAGTCGTGGGAACGGCCGCTTCTGATTGGCCGGATGTTGCCAAAAACAGGTCAAAGCAATTGAGCTTAAGCTAAATCTTGCTTCTCTTTATTCTTTACAGGAATTGCCGATGGCGGATTTCTTCTGCTGCTGAAAGCCAAGCAGTTGTGCAGAGATGAACAGTTCAAAGCTTCGCCGGGTTGTTGCCAGAAGTGGACAAGGTGCCATTCCATCAGCCTTTGCACCAAGACAACACTTGCGGAGCGACTTCCACAAGATCTAGAGGAGAAGACTATCCAACTCCAATGGTTCGTGATTGCCGCTCGCATGGATGAAACTGTACAATTCGAGTCTTTATCGAACAGAACCGTTTACCTCTAAAAAAAAAAGTAGCCTTTGGATAAGTGTCTCAACAAACCGTGTAAAGACAACATCCGGAGACAGAACCTTTCCTGGATGATGACTGACTTCCCTTTGAGTTTAACCCAGCGGGAAAATAGAAGGTCCAGTTGCGAAACCTGGTCCTTCGTTGGGTAAAGCGGGCTTGGGCTGAAATTCCGGAGGAGATGATGAAGAAATCATTTAAAACATGTAGGATTTCGAACGCGCTCGATTGCACAGAAAATGACAACATTTATAACTATGAAATGCCTAAACTAACCGACGATGAGATGGCCTGGGACGACAAGTTTGAGACGGATAACAAAGAAGAAGAGGAATAAACACTTCATTCTTGAAGTTATCACTAAACAATACGGCTGCTTTAGGAGTCACCACTTAAATACAAGTCATTTATCAACAATGATTTAGCGTAAAACTAGCAACTTGTGTTCGTTGATGATCGCTCGGCTGATAGCCGAATAAACATTCGATTTACGATATTTGTGGGTAATTCATCTTATCATATAAGATATGGCAGTCTCCTACATTTATTCCGAGACTGCGGCTTTGTTTTAGAATAACATGGGGTTATAGGGAAATCAATTCAAATTAGTGGCGAACAATTGCTCTAACCTTTACAAGAGAATCATGATATCAGACGACTCAACAAAAATGATCAACTATACAGGAATAAGAAAACAGTCTATATCAGTTTTATTCGTAGCGTTCTATACAAGAGATGCATGCATGGTGATGGAATTTTAAGCTATCTAATCAACAAGAAACATGGCTTGAGTAATGATTGTGACAATCAATCGCAAAATGTTAAAAAATGTTGGCATTAAGTGGTGATTCGTGTTTGATTTAAGGTATTGACTTTGGTAATAAGCAATTAACGTGGTGTCTTGTTCCACTCTTTTGTAGATTTCGAAGATCTATAAAAAACATGATCAAAGGAAAATGAGGAACACGAGGATGCAAAAATGTAAAATCTTTGAGGAGATATGCTACCAAAGCATTGTCCTAAGGAACCGTCGTCAAACAAAGTCGCTCGTAAGTTCAGCCGCTGGCGAGTGTCTTTGCGGTCGTTTCTCTCTTACAGAGCTCACCAAACAAGCCATGCTTCCGTTGTTGTTAGGTGTTGAGCTCAAGAGTGATGGAGTGGATCCGCCAAACAGAAGGGATGAAGACCGACCCAGATGCCTGTTTCCAGCCTCCATGTTGGCGGTTTTCATCTGTTGAAGCTGACCATAAAGTTTACGTATCTCCTCCTGAAAATCAACAGGTGACAATTTGGATCAATGTCAGTATCTGAATAACTGCGCACCTACCCCTCCCCTGACCCAAAATTAGCCCTGACTTGTTATCAGTTGATAGTTGTCTGGTTAGGGTAGGGGTAGGGGGCGCAGTTTCGTAGATACTGACATTGATCTGACAATAATTTCAATAAAAGGGTTTTCATTTTAAGCTGAGTTATTCATTGTAAGTTTGAGTAGGTTGGTCGGCGCCCCCTTAAGGCTCTTAAGTCACAGTTTGAGAATATTTGATCAATAATTTCTTATTTGACCATTTTCCCAAAATGGCTCTTCAGGGCCAATCGGGATAAGAAAAAGCAACAAATAGTACAAATAACATAAGATCTTCTAGAATTCCTCGAGGTTTCGCAACATTGTAAATTTAGACTGTAAATTTTTTAGCATAGTTACGATCTTACTAATGCAAGCTTCATACTCTTTTGACCTCAGTAACCGTTTGGAAGACCTAGATGTTTTCCATAACCCACGATTAAGGAGTTAGTTGTAAAATGTGAGAGCAGATTATTCTATCAGAGCACTTCTGGTTTTCAGTACCCTAAAAAAAGCGTTTAAGTTATTCTGAAAGTTTTGTTAGCGACGAACCCCCAATTTCCGTGACCTAGATTTCCCATCACCTTTGCATCCCTGTAGAAGGTTAATAGACTGGAAACTTTTTATCAGTCATTTTAGCGATGCTGTTCATGATGCTTGGAGGGGGGGGTGTGGAATAGACCACGGAAATGGTTTTTACTTCTATTTATACCTTGTAAGCTCACAATAATTTGGAAAGATGACTTAAATAAACACTTACCTTAAGATCTTCATTTTCTTGGCTCAAGTTCACCGTCCCTTCAGAGGACTGTCCAGTTGCCATATTGAGGGCAGCCCCTTTTATAGACGCAATCCTACCACTAGTATCAAATACGTCTCCGCGTCCCTTAATCACACGAATAATCTGCAAGACAGCATTAAATTATGTAAAAGTATTTACAAAAACTTGTGTAGATATCACATAAGAGAGAGCATGGTGATCTATTCAACCCGAAACCTATTCCGGTTTTTAATGCACGAGGCGAGTTGAAGTATTCTTACTCCTTCTGGACAGGATGCCTGGTAAACAAAGGTAAATACCACGAGTAAATGAAAGAGCAAATATCACTATTTCTTCGGGTGTTCTGGCAGTTCCACTTTATAATCGTGCATGGAGATAGGTCATGTAAGAATGGATTGCTTATCAAGGAAACACAAGAGAATGAGTGAGCCAGTTAAGGCTCGAACCTGAAGCACTCGTTGGAAAAGAACGAGCCATTGAAGCCCTGCCTACCCTCCTACCACCTAGGCACCCCCCCCCCTCCCCCCTACCAAAATAAGAGAAAAAAAAAGTAATGGCGAAAAAAAATTTTAAAAAAAAATTAAAAAAAAGGAAGAGGAAAAAAAGGAAAAAAAAAAGAAAACCGATACTGGATCTCCTTATCATTCCCGTAGTATCTCCTTTACAAACGTTTCTCGAATCTCTACCCCGAGTGACTCTGGCAAACGATCACAAAGAGCAGAGGTCTGGTGAGTCCCTTCCCCCCTGGGGAAGAGGCCTAGGCCAGTGGGCAGGTTCCCGACCAAACAAAGTAGGTTAGAGGAGAAGGCAGAGCTGTTTAATTTTATCCTATCTTTGCCACTGCCACCATTGTGTCCTCGCTGTGCTCCTACATCACTTAGTCCTCTTCGAAAGAAAAACAACAACAATCAAACGAAAAGCGCCCAAGCAATTCTTTCATCCCTTTTAACTCTAACATCAGTATGCATATTCTCTATTCTCTTCTCTATACATTTCTTTAAGTGCCTATAGGAGAAGTTGTTTGACAATCAGGAGTTTCTTTAGTTGGTGATCACTTTCGTTATTCTTGTGACCTTCAGCTGTGATTTAGCAGTGATATTGTCAGGAAAAGTTAGATACTGGTCACTCTTAGGAGTCAAAAGGTTTAAAGAAAATGTTTTTAGCTTCTCCTCACTAAGATTCTCACCTTGGGAACAAATACGAGCCCAACCAAAACGGACACAGCAAGCTGAACTCTGAAGAACTCCAGCAGGTAAATCATATCAGGTCCCGCCAGGTCCCCAATGAAAAGCCTGCAATAAACCACAGGGAAAAAGGTTTTTCAAATCCTTCAGCTAAAAGACGTCAATTACAAGTAAAATAAATCATGATAAAACAGAGGAAATGGGTAAACTGCCCAAATATCGGATTGCTTACAAGTCTTAACGTCAAGTAAAGCGATGATCTGAAAATTTAGCAATTGTTGAGAAGGAGACTGAAAAATATTCCGACCCAGGCCTCCCAGATACTAGTCGGGCGCCTTTACCAACTGAGTTACTAAGCCACACGTCAGGAGCGAGACACATTTTGGAGGTCTCTCCTCTCCACCTACTGGAAATTATCTTTGCATTAAACTTAAAGTTTTTCTTTCCTTTTCTGAGTCTGTCTCCATTGCTGCAGCTGTCCTTATTATTTTTATGACTGCCGTTTAAAAGGTTTTTTAGATTGTTTAGAAAGCAGGTGTATCATCCCTCAGCCTTTTTCATACTTTGTTACATCACCAGTTTGCCAAGTCAAAATGTCCTAACGTCTGTTCATTTCCTAATCTGCTTTTCGTTGTGCGTTCTAAGACAGAAGACTGAAGACTGAGACCAATGGACAGAGTGTTGGGAAATATTTTGCTTCTGATCGCGTGGTCTGATTGTCCGGGTCAGATCAGCTCAGGGGAGGACTTAGTGTTGTCGGTTTAAATAGCTGACGTTTTGAGAACCTCACTCATTATCACAGTCAACTAAAGAGCTGTTTTTCAGTCAAGTCTCACAAAGTCTGTTCGTGAAAGTGACCTGTCGGTTTTGCCTTGATGTTTTCGGCTGCTTGCATGGATGACTCAATTAGCCTAAAAGGTCGGTATAAGATTAAAGGGGGCCTTTACTGAAATCTGAGCACGTTTTCCATTTTTAGATAACAAGGATAGAAAACTTCATCATAAAAACCGAAAAACTGATGACCGCGAGTGCAAAATTAAGGGAAATTTTTAAATTAGAAGACATCTGTGCGTGGACAGAAAGCTAAAACACTTAATGATAGACAGCTAAGTATTTCACTAAAAAGCCGGTTATCTCTTGGACATATGCATTAAAAGGGGCTGGATGGTAATTCGTGAACAGATAACTTAAAAGTTTTTCACTTAGTGAGTGAAATCTCACGAACGCACATGACATGAATAACAAAATGGTAGTTTTATGGCTTTGAGCACGTAAAATGTTGGCTCGATCGCTTTGAGCTCGTCTGAATGGTCCTTCACAAAGTTTTTTTGAAATAACTTAAAACTAAACCTCCTTACCCTGCCTACTATAGCCGGAACTATTTGAGAGATCAGCTAAATAGTAAATATAGCAAAATAGAAAATATTGCTGTGGTTCACCTGTTATAAGGCTTCGTTTAAATACGAAAATTTGAATCTGAAGAGCCAAAAGTACAGCGCAAAAGTACTGCCTCGCAACCTCTATTTGAGTGAATGGCTTCATAACAGCGGCGTTTTCCTAATCAAGCGGCCTTCTCAGTTAAGTTTTACAATTGCAATAGCATCAGAAGCCTTTTTATTAGAGAAAAAAACCAAACAGGTTCGAGAATATTCATAAATTAATTGATAATTTTCCTCGTCAGCTGCACGAAGTCATAACTATCACTTGAACGCAAATGCTGACGCACATTGCTTGTAATAAAGCAATGGATTACGTAGGTAACTTGACAATCAGCGCAAACAGATGCATTACCTTAAAAAAAAAATTACCCATTCACTTCTGTATCCTAAGCATCCATTTAAATAGAGCCTTAAAAATGTGACACTTCTTTCAACCTGCGAAAGACAATGGCTCGGCCAATTTCTAAATAGTCACCACAAGGTCCCCAAGAGGTACGGACAAAAATCTGCGCCGTCACATGCAACAAAAGTATTCGAATGTATAAAGGGGATTAAATTTCTAAAGAAACTGTGGTGTATTTTGAATTTATCTACTGACTTGATAATTTAAATTGGCCATTGTAAAGAATTTTTTAAGCTGATGTTTCAAGGGTTAGCCCTTTGTCCGAGAGAATGACGAAAACCAATTACGAAAAACAAAAAACAAAAACAAAAACAAAAAAAGTAGCCAAATAATCCCTAAATAGTTTCCCTCAACTTCAATTAAAAATTCATATTCCTTGAGCAAGTTTGCTTTCAATAGTTTTCACAAAGGTTTCTATAAGGTTTAGGGTTGAAAAAGGATATTAGAAAAAGCAAAAAAACCCTAACCCTAAGCAAAGACATCGAGAGAATAGAATACAACACCCTTTACGGTGTTCAACCGTACTGCATGAGGTTGCCTCCCAATTAAACTTGACATAGTGTGGCTATATTGACAATATCTATTGTGACTCATGTTTATTGAAACAGCCAAAACGCACAGCGGGCACGAAATTAAAACCATTACCAAAATCCCAACAAGTAAAATGCATCATGAATAGATTTTAAGCTTATTAAACTCGCTTCGACGCGAATGATGAGCGGTGCACTATAAATTTCAGAGAGGAAAAAGGCAAATATAGCAAAAATAATTCGAAAGTATTCGCATGATTGCCTCGCCTTACAAAATTATACGAGCATTGAAAACGAAGAATTAATTGACTGTTAATACGGGACCTCATTGCATATTTACAAGAACGTGCGGCCTGTCAGAAAGTGACGTTCCACCTGTCAATTTCCGGAAGGAAACCAATCAAATGCTTTCAAAGACCAAATAACTTGATTAATTATGTTTAAAATAGAAATCATCAGTAAGATTTTTACACCTTAATTCTAGGAAGGAAACAAAAATAAGCCCAAATAAATAAATTATTATAGGAAAGACCAAATAAAGATTTCTACCAAGGCTGTGTGGAGTATAGGCATACGTTTGATTCTGATAATAACAATAAATACGAAACAGAAACGAAAGGAAAATAAAAGATGAATTTCCAAGGCTATCAAAATAAACGGTTCATTGTCCCTGCCATACGAATTATTCCAAGAGGAACTAAAGTGAGTTTGTACCTAAAAGTTTCATAATCCAACCATTAAATAACTTTAATTCACACGGGATAATATCTTTCATTCTTACAATAATCATTTATTATTAATATTATCATTATTATAATTATTATTATTATCATTAATACCATAACTATCTATTATCTTATATTATAATATTTTATATTATACAAGTCTCTTTCAAGAAATATGGCGAGAAAGATAGAAGTATGGCAATTTTTTTTGCCTTTTTTTATCGCTGTTATTAATTAACATTTATCTTACATAGCATCAAAATGACAGTGGAAATAATTCCTCCACTGCCTTTTAACAAGTAATAATTCTTGTCAAGCCAAAATTGTCAAAATTAAGATAAGTCTTTTCATTATTTCGATGAAATAAAGAAGATAAAAAAAAAAGTTAAATGTTAAAATAAAGATTCGTGAAACGTGTGGGAGGAGATTGACTTCGGACACAATGCGTCAATAAAGATCATTACCTGGTAACAATTCTGCAAGCAAGTAAAAAAGTGGTCACGCGGAGGGGGAGTACGTGACAAAGGAGAAATTAAGAAACTTGCATGACGTAAAATGTCAGAGATACTTTGTCCGCTAAAACGTTACAAAAGGCCTCTCGTGCAGTAGATATGTTTATGCACGTCCGAGGAGCAATTCACATGTTTTCAGCCACGAAACGTGATCGCGAATAGTGATTAATTTTTAAAAGTGTAAAGCACATTAAGTTGTCATTCACAAGATCATTCCGTTTGCAAGAGTTAATCACTATTGTATTAAGAAGGGTTGAATTATTCAAGTTTGAGCCGAAGCTTGCGATCAACCAGTCAACAAACAGACCACAAATTGTCTTTTCTGTACATATTTTACAAGACTAAAGCATTCTTGTAGGTCCTCTCTCCCTTTAAAATAAATGCAAGAGCTAACCTCATTTAAGTACAGCGAAAAATTACTGGATTAAAAAAGTTGAATTTAATGAGGAAGCTAGCTGGCTTAAAGCTTTCGTCTACATTCTTATTAAAGGCAGCAGGCAACGTCACCTTAAAATGGGTGTCGTTGCGAATTTAATAAAGATATGCCTCTAATAAAAATTAGACTTTGAAATAATCTTTTGGTAGGGTACGCAAACAAATAAAAGATACTAAAAAAGGTTTAAGATAGAAGAGATTAACACGGATTGTGAAAAAATTAGCCTAAATGTTTCCAGGTCGAAGAATTGCGATGTAACGCCCTAAAGTTCTCATTTAGGATAGAAGAGAAGTGTAAAAAACTGTCCCTGTGAAAGCCAGCGAGTAAGTGTCGATTAAGTTAAAGGAAAACATTGGAGAGAATATTCCATCGTCGAAAAAAGGGTGTTTGTCAAAGGTGGATTAAAAGACGAACACATGCTTCAATAAAGGACACTGACGGAGAAAGTGACATGTATTTGTTCGGAACTGAGTGTTAAAAATTAAAAACATGGGCTATACAGTATTAAGGTTTACTTAAAAAGTTACTGATTCAATCTAGGTGTTGTTAATTAAAGTAAGGGCAAAATTAAATGGAAACTAGTCGAGTCGGCAAAAACATATATCGCGTACATTGTTGGTCGCGTAATACGCATTATTAAGGAACTGAATAACCTAAAATTAGTCACTCGTTCAATAAATAACAAGGATTGATACTCGTCTTCAAAACTGAGTTTTATTATATAGTTTCTGTACATGGAAGATTTTTCATTGTCACGAATAAATAGTTAACAAGAAATATTGCTGAAAAACCATCAAATGTACTTCCATGTTTTTTGTCAAATTTTTAATCAACTTTACGACTTGTATGCAAATTTGATGAATTTTTTTTGTTAATTTTCACCGTTCTGTTTATTTCGTCCAGCGACAGAGTGGAATGAAGTAGGGCGGTTTCAACCAAATTATACGCGGTGGAGTTTCGTCCCCGCACTTTTTATTCCAATGTTTATCATTGTTATCATTACAACTGTTTTGCGCGCTGTGGCGGTCGCGATTCTTTTTTGTCGAGGAGTTTTTCCTATCAC